GCGTAGCCAGTGATCCAAGTGCAGTGGTGAGATTAATGCTGGAGATGGCAGGGTGCACCATAAACTTTAACAACTGCTCCAGAGCCAACTTTCCCTCCTCACACAAGGTGTCTTAGAGCAGGACAGGAGGAATTGAAGAAGACGAGGAGAGAAGAAATGGAAGCAAAAATAAAGAATGAAAATGTTTCTGTTAAACTTTTAAAAGTCTTGACATTAGGGCAGTACGCTTTTTTTTTTAAATACAAAATATTGTATTATTGACAATAATTTATTGTTATTATAATAGTAAGTACATGTAACGTGTAACAAGGACACCTTAAAATAAAAAAATTCAATATAAAAAATAAAAATAAAATAAAAAATAAAAAAGTATTTAAGATATATATATATATATATATATATATATGTGTGGTCTTTGTGGATTTCATCCAGTCTGCAAAATTTGGACAAAATGTGTGATTACTTATTAATGTGACAATTAAATAGCAATAATAATAGTAATTATTGTTATTATTATTATTAATTATAAATATTACTACCAAATAAATATTACTATTGCAGTTTCACTGAAAAACATTAAAAAATCAAGTACTTTAGAAGAACAATATAATAATTTTATTTAGAGTACATCTGTAAAACTACAATGCTAATATTTATGGTTATCTTAATTTCCTCATTTTCAAATGTTAAAGGTGCCATAGAATGCATTGATACAATATCTTAAATTGTTCTCTGATATCTACATAGAAGATATGTGGCTTAGTTCAATACTTTCTCTCGCAGTTATATCGTTGGGTAATTATACTGTATATAAAATGCAGACATCAGGGAGCATTGAAACTGCTTTCGAATGCACGATCGAGTTTTACTTTCACTTTCAAGATTTGCAGTTGCACATGCTCTGTGTAAACTACAGCGGCAGTACTTACCACACATTTTACAAGAACGGATGTTTGTCAGTGGTGCTCAGGATCTGTAAATCATTCGCCATCATCCTCAGTCATCTCTCCTTACTCTGTTTATGTGGTAAGTGAAATCTTATGTACTGTAATGTAACAGGCTACCGCTAGCAAGCAGCTAACATGTCCTTTTAGTGGCTCGTTATTTGTTTTCCGTGCAGCATTTACAGTAAACTGAGCCACTCTGAGGCACTGAAAATACTGATTCAAGAGATGCGTGCGTGCTGCACTTCACTCAAACATGCAGCATATATTTATTTAATTAAATCGATAATCATATTGCAAGCCATATTGTTATTTTGGTATTATTTTGATTAATTTTGCGGCCCTACTAAACATTAATGAAAAGAAGAGAAAAAAAACAATTCAAAATTGTGTTTGAAAATGTGATTCTGCTCCTACCATATCGAATATACGTGTGGTCTTTGGGGATTTTGTCCAGGCTGATGTCTCCCTCCTGTTTCTTGGGCGTATCAGAGTCATGTGTCCGTGGTGACAGAGTGATGATGAGGGACTCAGTGAATTTGATGGCGTGAGTGCGAACTCCGTCGTTATCGGAGTCTAGCAATGCCAGAACGTCCTCTTTCATCTGGGTCACCATATCCCAGCATGGCTCCTGCATGTCCGAGACACTCTTAGTGCGCACCAGCCACTAACAGAACAAATACAGAACATGTCAGACACTTAAAAATATCAGCCCAACCAAACAATGAATTCTGTATATTTAAGTGAAAACGAATGATACCTGTAAAGCCACTTTGTATAGCTGAGTGAGTGTCAGAATGGCCTTCTTCACCACATTCACACTCTCATCTCTCATCAGCATGTTCAGGTTGGCAATCAGCCTCAGCAGAAGCTCATTGTCTCTTTTACTAAATAAACAAGTGTCAACTCTTCAAGGACTAGTCATGACGAGTATATGAAGTATTGGAAAGAATTTTGTATAAAGTGCAGTATGGGTCAATCTATTTCTCAAGTGGTCCAGTGGAGGTTACTTGACCATTTTTATTGTCCTTTATTTTAAATTTGAGTTATTTTTATGTATTCTTATTCAAAACCACCATTTTTTTTTATTTTGTTTTGCATCTTGGTGTCTTGGCCCACAACAAATTATATTTTTTTCCACTTCCATAATGGGATGCGTTTGAGTGTGCACAATTTGAGACTAGGGCTGCACGATAAATCGAAATGGAATTGAAATCGCGATTCGACAGAAGCTGCGATTGTCATGCGTATCTTTCAGTGAAGCACGGTTCTGTGATCAGCAGTAAATCTCCATCCAAAGGCCAGAGGGCGCTCTCGCGCTGAAACTCCAAATACGCCTCGCAGAAGAAACCCATCGCTGCAGCTGAATAATCAGAAGATTTAACTGCTTTTATTGATTCAACGTGACTAATAAACACACGATTTTAACATTATATGGTTTATCGGAGTTATTATTATATTTTTTTGCGTAACTTGTCAGTGAACTACGGCTATGTGTAGTAAATTCTGCTCCATCTGAAAGCACGTGACGATGATTTCCTGTTGATTACAGAACCGGCTTTACTAACAAAATGCGCATGACAATCGCATTCGATTAATCGTGCAGCCCTATTTGAGACTTACCTTAATTTTTTATGGGGGCAAGAAAGTGCAATTTTTTACTTTTGGATTGATTATTTCTAAAGAGGTACCAGACAGGAAGTTTAAATGTTTAGAGATATAAGTCCACTATGGTAGCATCCTGCTGTAACAATTTTGAGTTTGAGATTCCAACCAACTTTAGAGATATTGGACCACTTGGGATGGACAGACCCACATGCAAGATCAGCCAGCACTCACCATGCCTCCTCAATGAATCCGATGACAAACTTTCGCACCTCAATTGACTTATCAGTCTGAAATGCGATGATTTCCTGTAGAGGATGGATAAAACAGAAAGTGTGAATGTAATTCCTGTGTCGGCTCATCTACTTACTTACACAAGCTGGTGAAGATGGTTCAGTGCTTACATCCAGAAAATTATCAAGCAATGAAGGGTCCTTGTTGATAATCAACTCCTGCACCTAATAATAAAAAATATAGAGAACAGACCTAAATAATCATGTAAATGAAACATCTGATTTTTATGTTTACAACAATATAAAAACGCTTTCAAAACCTGTTTGAGAACAATAAGCTTTTCCTCTGTAGAGATGAGTGCTGCCTGGTTTAACAATTCCACCACCTGATGGAGAAACGCAATCAACACCAAATTGACAAAAAACAGCACTAACTAGTGTGGTTACTTTTTAATAAGTAATGATGGCCCAGTGTGTTGTTACCTTCTCGCTGGTGGTCATGTCAAAGGCTGTGTCCTTCTCATTGCTGGAGAACTGGGAGGCCACGCTACCATGCGCTTGTTCTCCCACACCTGACGCCATCACAATAAAATCTAAAAAAAGTGCATCAGATGTCTGTGAATGTATGCAAATTAGTGTATATTTAATTAAATAATGCATAATTTGCATAGTTATGCATTTCAGAACACTTGTAATGCAAAACATTTAAAAGTACTGTGTGATTAATAAAAAGGAAGAAGTATAGTGGTATCTATTAGTTAAAATGTTTAACCTGTGGTGTTCTGCCTTAATACAAGAAGCACAAATCAAATAAATGCAAGACGAAACAAAGACATTGCCCTAATCTACGAAGGTCAACGGTCAGTTCAGCCATTAGATTATTTAGGCAAGAAAAGTAATTCCTTAAGGTGCTTACTACTTTTACATTAAAGAAATACAGGATTATTACAGTATATAATGGTATGCAGTATATAATATAATGCAATTGTTACACAATTCTTTAAACATCACTGACTTCAGTATCAGGACCACAGTATTATGTCTTCATTTATCATGCCTACTGGTTACAGTTTAGACAGATATTAGAGCATACGAATTTTAGACAGATTTAATTAAGTAGTGTACTGTAATATTAAACAGTACACTTAGTTACCATCAGTGCTTTTTTCAGCATCTCCTACTCCACTACTCGAGTAAATACTCCAAAAGCGAGAAAACAAATTATGGGGTATACAATGTCCATGATGCAAATTAACGACTGAAATAATTTTAGGAATGTCTAACTTACATAGGCTACACAGAAATGTGTACCTAGTTAATTTCTCGTACATAATTAGGCTCATTATAGTCAGATTTCAGGCTTCCTGACTGTCCTAAATTAGCGTATTTAGTAAATGATGGATAACACAGACACCTTAAATTCACTTAAAATAAATTCTTTTAAATTCTATAAAATGTGGGGAATTAAATTTCATAGCCTTAAAACCTGTCGGTTAGCGCTGACGCTAATAGGCAAACTTTTAGGCAAGAAAAGAGTTAAAAAAGCACAAAACGCATTTTACCTTACTCAGTCTTTTTTATGATAACATCTCACGTGGAAATTATATATCCATATTATTAATTTCTTACAAATTCACTAGTACTAGCAATCACTATTGCAAAGTATTAATTTGCGCCATGCTACGAGAACAATCTACTTCCGTGGTTGAGTGTACACGTGAGGTTCATGGGATATTGAGTTGTTGTTTTTTTGTAGTTTTTTTAATCCTCTTGTCTTGACCATACCGGTAATAATTTACTGGAAATTGAGTTATTGTTGTTTTATTCGCATTCAAACCTTGTAACAACAGTACAGACTGAGAACAAACTCAAGCAACATGCACATAGGCATACTACAGATAGCCTATAACATCAATAAAGAAGGTTAAAGTGGTAAACCACATTTGTTTAAAAAATTGGTTTGAGTATGACGGGACAGTCATCAAACATTTGCATTTATAAATTAAACACTGTATCATAAGCATCAGCAATATCATTTAGAACATCAAATAGTTTAATAGTAATGAAGATCCTACTCTTTTTTCATAACCACATTTCACAAAATCCCACTTGTTGTGTTATATCAATGCTATTAAAGAACTGAACCAAATTGCTGTAAAAAATCAACAGTTTATATTATTACTCCCAACTTAACATACATTTGAATTAACAACATTTATAATTTGAAGATAATCTACCGTACAGCACCTCTTTATATTGAAGTGAAATAGGAAATAAAAGATATTATATTCTAAATGTCACTTCTACTTCTATTATTTACCTTACAGGTGATCGTAAATTGGACAAACCCATTGAATCACAAAACATTTTCACATTTCACTATAGCAGAAGCAGTACAGCTCAAAAAATATTAAAAGACGGTCAGATACTCTGGTCAATATCACATGCTTTGACATATAGTATTATAGCAAGAGTTTGAAAATAACAAATTAAAACATTTTTATTCTGATCGGTTTTTCTATTGTTCATCTCACATGCATTAGTGGCCTTAGTTGTTGTCTGTAATCATATCTTTCATAAGAGTTGGTTCTGCCTTCTAACGCAAGTTGAAAAACTTCCATTCTGACGAAAGACCTTGTCCTTCTATGATCTCAAAGATGATCCTCATTTTTTCCAGAGATGTTGCCATTGCTCTGATTTTATTTACCTGTTCATTTGCATTAATGTCACCAAGGTGATCTAAAATGACATTAACATTTCTCACTCTTTGGATAAGCTCAGCTTTGTTGTTTTCAGAAAGGATACACCTGTAGTCATCAACACATTTAATTTATACAATATATTAAAATGTTTCTGAGAGAAAATAGAAGCTAATCATTTGTTCCACTACTATTCTAAAACAGGCTACTAGCTGATTCAAATGTAAATCTAAGATTGTTATTAGGTTATGTGCTTACACCGCTCATCTGTTCATAGGCTCAGTCTGCTGTTTTCTGCTGTATAGTCTGTAAGAAAAAAACTTCGTTAATATCTGCTTCATTTTCAATTTATGAGATTATCAGTATGATTCACTTTATTTAAAAAAACTTTTACAAATGTATGCATATTTAACGTTGTGCATATGCTCATGTAAATCAGTGCAACAAATTGTCGCAGTCTAGCATACAAATTGAACATGCAAAGAGCATCCAATGTCTGTGATGATAATTCACTTCAGGTGAATTGTTGTCATGTCAGTAATTTGCTTCCTAAACTTTTGCATTCCACTAACACAAACAGTAAAGTATCTTACCTGTCAGTGTTATGTCACGGCTCCATACAACTTCAACCTTTCCTTCCTTGGGGTTTTCCTTTTTGAGGTGTAAACCCACATCCATCACACCATCTGGCAACTTTATATCAAATGTTGGATAGTAATGCTTCCACTTCTTCGTGCAATGAAGTTTTGTGTCCTAAAGAGATTGATACAAAAATTTGATTAAAAGGCACCACTGAAACATATCTGAATCATTAATGTTGGAAAAACTATTTGTTCTTGCTCATATACATACATATATATATATACACACACATACATACATACATACAGCGGGTAAAATAAGTATTGAACACATCACAACACATTAGACAGAGGAAATGAACAACAAAAGTCATTTGTGTGATGAATGATGAAAAGGAGTAAAACAGGACTGGATAAAAGGAGGTTTGTAGAGTCAGTTACCTGTAGTTGTCCTGGATCCACATCAGGATGTCATACATTCTCTCTCTGCAGACAGGAGAAGGGTGAGACACAAATGCTGTGACGGTTCCCAAAATCTCCTTCAGCTCTTGGGGTTTCAGACATGCCAGGATCTTATGTATGATATCCAGACAAACCCGCTGCCTGCCTTCATCTCTGAAAGACACAGCATGTGATGTGAAGAGGGTTTATCTCTAATATTTTACAATCACAGGCATAAAACCTGAAATAACACAAGGAAATGAAATGAACTCCTGCAGTATTAACAGACTTGTGGCTCATGATCTGTGAGAGGCCTTTGGTCTTCAGGTGCAGGTAGATTTCAGGGATGACATCAGCACGACTCTGCACACATTCAAGGCAGTGTGTCTTCAAAATGCCATGCAGCTTTGGCAGCAAGTAAAAAACAGGATTTACAAATCTGTGGAATATAAAGACAAACATTATTTACAGAAATAACATCAAGCCTTTACTACATACGATGGAAATTTTCATCTCACCGATCCATTAAGGGTGGGAAGTGTTTGGACACTTTGCTCAGGCAAACAATAAATTTGTCATCCACCTCCTTCTTTCTCAAATCCATGAGTTTTGTGATAGTAATATTAAATAAGGGCCCTTCATTTTGCTACAACAAAGAAAAACAATAGTTGGTTACTGGATACTTTCTAAAGACAACCTTCACGTTTACAACATGTATATTGCAATGTAAAATAAAATATCTCAGATGAAAAATGTGATACAATTTGGCAGGAACAAACAGCCACACTTACACTTTCTCTCTTAGTCATGTAGTTTAGGATTAAACCAATGATCTCAGCAGCTGCTGCGTAAACCTCTTTATATCTGATGAATGACAAGTTGTTGGCCAGTGACTGAAAGTATCTGTAACACAGGAATTGTAAGAGGACAACACTGGTTTTAAATTCATATTTATAATTACAGAAAAAAATTGAACATTTGTATGATAAATTCAATACTAATGCAAACACACACACACATTCTCCTACATACATAAATACATATACATACATACATAAATACATATACATACCATATATATAATATATATATATACACACACATACATACATACATACAGCGGGTAAAATAAGTATTGAACATTTTCTCAGTTTTCTCAGTAAATATATTTCTAAAGGTGGTGTTGACTTGACATTTTCACCAGATGTCGGTAACAACCCAAGTAATACATACAAAGAAAACAAAACAAATAAGTTCAGAAATTAAGTTATGTGTAATAAAATGGAATGACACAGGGAAAAAGTACTGAACATATGAAGAAAGGGAGGTGCAAAAAGGGCATGGAAAGCCAAGACACCAGCTGAAATCTATCACTAATTAGAAAGCAATCTTGTCAGTGGACAGTGGAAATTAATATTAGCTGGTTCAGTCCCAACACCAACAGTACCAGGATGATGAAGAAGGGTGGACAACTCTCAGTTGGTTTCAGAAAAAGAAAATAAAGCTGCTAGAATGGCCCAGCCAATCACCTGACTTCAATCCAATAGAAAATAAGAACTAAAGATCAGAGTTCATAGAAGAGGCCCACAGAACTTTCGAGAGTTGAAGACTCTGTGGAAGAATGGGCCAAAATCACACCTGAGCAATGCATGCGACTAGTTTCTCCATACAGGAGGCTTCTTGAAGCTGTCATTACCAACAAAGGCTTTTGTACAAAGTATTAAATAAAATTCAGTAGTACTGAATACTGAATACAATACTTTTTCCCTGTCATTCCATTTTAATACACATAACTTATTTTCTGAACTTATTTGTTTTGTTTTCTTTGTATGTATGGATTACTTGGGTTGTTACCAACATTTGGTGAAAATTTCATGTCATACAGCACCTTTAGAAATATATTTACTGAGAAAAATGGTGACGTGTTCAATACTTGTTTTACCCGCTATATAAATATATATATATATATATATATATATATATATATATATGTATGTATATGAGCAAGAACAAATTATTTTTTTCCAACAATTCAGATATGGTTCAGTGGTGCCCAGGGTCTAACAAACCCTTTTTTTGGATTTCAAATTAAATACTGCATGACAAGCAAAATGAACATTCTTTGTACATTGTTTAAATACTGTACATCTGAGATTATACAAGATCTTCTAATCATGCTAATTCATCTCTGAATGATTTGGTTCATCAGAGTTATTTGCAGGTTTGCAGGATATTTGCAGTTTTCTGGACTGGGCGTTCTAGTACTCATTAGAAAGGACAGCTAAATATGTAAACTATATGATACATGATTCCCTCATTTCCCTCGTGATTTCTCAATTAGAAAATCTAAAATAAAAGAAAAACACCCTCATGCTTTGAGAAAATGCATTATTCTAATCCATATACTGACCACTGTTTGTATCTTTGGCGTCTCTGAAAGTCCATGTTCCGCAACAGGATCACAGGACATGCTGTACACACATTCATATTTCAGCATGCATTCACAAACTGTTTGGATTAATGTGTAACCTTTATTACTTTTTTTCCACCTGAAAGAACAGAGAAATGGTATGGTTGTTTATAAAAGTCAGCCAAAGTGAATGAGGTCAAATGGAGGGGAGGGGGGCATTTAAGATGTACTTCTCTGGGGTCCACACTGAGGGGTTGTAGAAACACATGCAGCCTATGTGCTGGCTGTAGGTAGAATAGCATCACTTGGCCGAGCATCTTAGTCCAATGACCCATAAACCAGTTTTCCTTTTTGGAAATAAAAAACTTTGATGTTCCTTTGATGCTCACTGTGACATGTGCGCTTGTGATATTTTGAGGCTTCAGAATATCAACAATCTTATTAGAATTATGTATAACTGACATGAAGTGGCAGGCATCCGCTGAGAGAAAAAAAAACAACACTTTTTTATATGTCCTCTAGTAAATATAAAATGTATAACATAGTGTTATATTTTTATACTAATCAGGATTTTCCTAAAATGTTTGCACTTTGTATTATTCAAAGTTCAGTGTCTATTATTTTTCATAAGATTGCCAACTCACCAATGGAGGTCTCACAGTGAGGTAGTCTGAGTTGAGACAGCTCACCCTGAACACATTTGATATCATACACAGGTCCTGCTTGGGAATAGTTGGCAGGGACTGGACAGTCGTTGTCCTGAAGAACGGTGCTGTACAGCACCTCTCCTTCCCCCTCCATGTTGAAACCAATCTGTGTAAACTCACAATGGAACCAGCCTGCATGGCTGCACTGTAACCTATTTGATTTCAAAGGAATATTGAAAATGAAAGCATGCTGATACACTTAACTATCTTATACTTCACCTGTTTGTTGACACAAACCTGTATTTCCTTTGCCCCTCTTGAATGATGACCTCGGGAGTGAACAAATAATCTTTCAGATCTAGCCTCTGTGAAAAATAACAAGAGCTTAAGTGAATTGTAATTTTACTGTCAAATAAGACAGATTTGCATTTGCAAAGAGATCATTTTGACTTACCCTTAAAATGCCTGAAGGGGATTGAGAATCTCCATCTGAAATGTCTGGTAATACCAGATGCATTGAATTATTACTCCTGATCATCATCTGTATCCTGTCTGAAAGCTCCCTCCTCTCTGTAGTTTCTGGTGCAGAGCCACAAATGTAGCATTTGTGTCCACATTTTTCAAGAAGCCACTCCAATATGCTTCTCTGAGCTACAACTGCATCTGAGCTACAACATACTACGACGACATGATTCCAGAATTTCTCTCCAAGAAATTCCAAATTTTCAAGAATCTCTTTGGTTTGGTCTGTGAATTTGTCATCATGTAGAGTAAATGCAAGAACATGAGGCCCAGGAGTCAGTTTTTCCCATCGAAGAATGCTCTTGGCGTTGCAGATATCAATATCAACCAAGTGCACAATCTTCTTGTTCATTGAACCTTTGAAAGTCTTAATCCTACCACTCTCAACTTCGTAACTTCCTCCATCAAAAATCAGGCTTAGAACACATTTTTCTGTTTCACTGAAACTCATGAGCCAAATCCTTATCTCTGTGAAAATTTCACCTATGTAAAAAAAACCCAAACAAAATCAATAAAGAGGCAGCTGAATGAGGCAGAGATGGTTACTGAGGCCTGTTTAACTTGCATTTTTAATATGAAAATTTTAAATATTTTCATTCACAATTGTTGATCCAGGTCTGACAAATGACTACAAATGGTGTCATAAAACTTGACAATGTTAATCTCAATGCCTAAATTACATTTACATACACTGATGCATGCATTCCTAAAAGTGACAAAGTAGTAAAATTGAAAACATTTTAATTTTGACTCATAAAGTGTAATCTTCAAATGAATTAATACATCAGTAGTACTAAATAAAGTCTGTCTTATTAAACAAATCTTACAACATATTGGCACTGTTAAGTATATCTCGAATAAATGGATTTAGTAATATGGCGAATCACTGCATACCATCATCAAGGATCCAATGAATTTCACATTGTAAATTCTGAAAAAAAAGTGTGTAATCTATGTCTGTGACCTAAAACTGAAAAGAAATTGAGGTATTCAATTTCAAAAATGAAATCTCAGTTTAAAAGCTATTCATTCAGGTAGCCAACCACCGATCAACTTTCACTAAAGCAGGAAGACTGTGATCATGCACCTATGCTAGACAAATTTTACATTTTGGGGACCAGTGTATTTAAAGTAATCCAAGTAAAATATATAAAAAATAAACTGAATAAAAACTTTTGTATTTACCAAAATTTAGTCAATTTTTTAGGGCTCTCTCATAAAACTCTTCGGCCTTGAGTTTTTCACCCTTTACTTCATGAATGAATCCCTGTATGCCACACACCATGCCGTCATCTGGGCTTTTCAGCCATTTAATACGATGTTGCATCATGGTTTTAAGTTTGTCCTCACATAACTTGCCTAGCTCTGATTTTGGTTGCAGCCTCAGACCTTGCATGAAATGTTGGAAGGCCAGTGGTTCAGATCTTTTGTAGTAGAGCTGGTATTGGCCACATAAAAAATGAACTGCCTGCAGATGTTTCTTTTCATTGTAAGCCAATTTAAATGCTTCTTCAAAAAGTCTGTCAGCTTTGAAGCTGCCAAGTTGTCCGTGATGCAGTGCTAAATCTGCCACGGCATTCACAAAAGGTGGCTTTAGGGAAATTGCCCTATCCAGATGATAGATGCACTGATCCAGGTATTGCTGTATTTCATCTGACCCTTTAACATTAAACTTTGCTTTGCCATGCATCCTATGTTTCTTTTCCAGGTATGTTTTTTCTTTTTGTAACACATAGCCAATTGATGGTGTATAAAGGCAGAGTTTGGGGTAGCCTGCAAGGCATCTTCTAGTAGATTAATGGCAATGTCCATGTTTCCTAATTGGCGGAAAAATTTTGCTGTGTATCTTATGACGTGTGGGTTTTCAGGAGATATCCTCAGTGCCACAATCACCTTCTTCAGTGCAGGTTCGAATGTCTTATCATCTCTGTTATTCGGCATTCTTAAGGCTAACAACAGTAGTAGAACAGCATCATCTGGATTAAGTTCTATAGCTCTTTCAAGCTGTTTTATTGTTGGTGAGTCTGAAGAGTCAGGAGTGTCTTTTGTTGTGCGGTACAGTGCAATAGCATAGCCTGCATTTAAATCACTGTCATCCAGGTTAATTTCAAGGGCCTGTCTAAAGCATTCCTTTGCAGCATGTGAGTATTTGTTAGAGAATTTAAGAAAAGTCCAACCCTTTTCTCTGAGAACCTCCACAGTATAAGTGAATCCCCCAGAAAATTTTCTGCAGATCCTCTCTAACTCTCTCAAGTACTCTTCACATTTAGATAACTCATTTATATGATAGTGCAACCAGGCGAGGTCTCCATAGGTAACAATAAGAACTTCATCACTGTCTTTGTAGTGTTCTTTTGCAAGCTCCACTGATTTCTGCAGATTTGCAAGTGCTTCCTGCTGGTTGCCATAGAGATACTGAACGAATCCAAGACTGTTGTAAGCTCGTGTTACTCTCGCCTCTTTACATTCCAGCTGAATCTGTTCCTCCAGACGATTCAGTAAATCACAAAGAACAAAGTCACCTTCTTCTCTTAGAGACCAAGTAAAATGGCACTATTACAGAAGCAGTTTAGATTTTAAGGCACCTTCAAGACTAAAAAAAAAAAGGAAAAGTAGAAACAAATGATTTGCAGGTATGTTGCAAAAACTCTGCCACCTTTGTACATACAGGCCATCATTGAGGGTGCAATCGAGAACATTGTTCCAGGCCATTGTCTTCATTGCATTTTAATCAATCAATCAATCAAACTATCAATCAATAAAACCAAGTGGCATCTGTGCTGAAATTATGCAAGAGCTTTTTTCAGAACTAACTTACCTTACTAACTATTACAAACAGCAGCCAGTCAGCAAACATTATTATTAATTAATCAAATGAAGATATTATCTCAGATATTATTAAATAATCGAATAAAGGTATTATCTCAATATCTTTAAAGCTAGTAAAACTACTACTAGTTTGCGAAATTTGCTTATAGGAAAGGTTTCAAAAGTCATTTGCCATAGTATTTTTTTTTAAATGTAATTAATTAAATTAATTTAATTTAATTGCACTCCCTACATTTTGGGGGTTTGAGATACCAAAACATAAAATAATATTTGTTATTTTAATGTACTTGGATTCAATTCAAACTAAAGTTTTACAGAATAAAGTGACATGTCATGAATTTATAAAATTATTTTAAAAGGAAATAATTCACTTCGACAAAACATGAAATGTCATGTTAGTAGCCTATATGTAATGTTATTTCATGTGTTTTCTGAGCATTCAGTAGTATACATCTACTTAGCATGTGTATGCATGTGTTTCGTCTACTTAAGTGTGAGTGAAGTTTAATTAAACCCTAGAAAGCACATAACATTACAATATGAATTATTTGACAATGCATGCAGCAAGATGATTAGATGCTTACTCTGTGACTCTAGCAATTGTCTGCTACTCTGCATAGCCTCACACAGTTCTTACTAGATCCAGGAAGTAAGACCATATTAGCCCGGTTCTGTCAACTCTGCACTGGCTCCCTATTAAACATCATATAGATTTTAAAATCTTGCTAATTACTTATAAAGCCCTGAATGGTTTAGCACCTCAGTACTTGAGTGAGCTCTTATCACATTATTGTCCTCCATGTCCGCTGCATTCTCAAAACTCTGGACATTTGATAATACCTAGAATATCAAAATCAACTGCGGGTGGCAGATCCTTTTCCTATTTAGTGCCCAAACTCTGGAATAATCTACCTAACACTGTTCGGGAGGCAGACACACTCTGTCAGTTTACATCTAGATTAAAGACCCATCTCTTTAACCTGGCTTACACATAACACACTAACACATTTCTAATATTCAAATCTGTTAAAGGATTGTTAGGCTGCATTAATTAGGACAACCGGAACCGGGAACACTTCCCATAACACCCGATGTACTTGCTACATCATTAGAAGAATGGCATCTATGCTAATATTAGTCTGTTTCTTTCTTATTCCGAGGTCACTGTAGCCACCAGATCCAGTCTGTATCCAGATCAGATGGTCACTGCAGTCACCCGGATCCAGTACGTATCCAGCCCAGATGGTGGATCAGCACCTAGAGAATCACCACCACAGCGTCTTGTCTCCATTGGCAACACACACGATTTGTGTCGATTGCAAGTGACGTCGCAGGAGGTAGCGGAGAGTGCAAGTGACTTCGTAATTTAGTTGCTTTTTTCTTGTCTTCACCACCTGGCTACTGTTGTAAAATCTTGAGAGATTCAAACAAAAATAATAAATAAATAGAACAAAATAAAAAAAATAAAGACTGCAAGTGACGTCGCTAGCGGAAGTGCAAGTGTCTGAGAGTGCAAGTCTGAGAGTGCAAGCGCCAGGCTTCAGCCAGACCCTTCTCACCGACTGAGCCTGGTTTCTCCCAAGGTTTTTTCTCCATTCTGTC